CCACAACTACAACCAACTACGCCAACCATGTCGTTCCTCAAGGCAAACTCGGCCACGGCCATGAATGCCCCTTCACCCACACCCTCGTCCTCGTCCGCTAGCGGCAAGCGCAAGCGTCCTGCCGATGGAGCGCCCCCGGTCGTCTACTCGCAGCCGCAGGACACAGGCACCGGCGAGCATGTCTTCACGCGCCTCACCTACGTCAACGACTTCCTGCGCGAACGAAAGGACAAATGGCACACCTTCGATGACATAATGGAATATCTCAACATCCCGCCCGGTCACATCCAGCGCGAACAGCTCCGCCAGCTCATGCGCGCCGACAACCAAGGCAACAGGATCAGCTGGGACGCTGCGAACGAGCGCTACAAGTACAAGAGCAAGCTCAGCATTCACGACCGTGCACAGCTAAAAGGCCATTTCCAAACGCAAAAGTCGGCCATGGGACTTCAGATCAAAGACCTGAAAGATGGCTGGTCCACCGTGGCTGATGATATTACAAAGATGGAAGACAAGAAGGAGGTGCTGGTGCGACGCGCCAAGGACGGCGTGCCAAAGACCGTCTGGGGCAATGACCCCTCTCTCATGCTGCCCATGGACCCCGTCTTCGCAAAGGCGTGGCACTCGGTTCAGGTACCGGATAACCCTGATGAGTTGCGCAAGGCCCTGTTAGCCAACAAATTGACCGCTGCTACCCAAGCCAAGGTCATTGTTGCTGCCCCTACGACCAAGAAGAAGAAGGGTCCTCGTCGTGGTGGAAAGCAGACCAACACCCACATGATTGGTATTCTCAAGGATTTCTCTGGAATGAGGAAGTAAATTTTTTTGCTTTTGATGCATAGCGAAGGCGTTTGGGGTGGTTTTTTTTTCCTCTGCAACGTGGGAAGACTGTTGAAACTGATTCAAATTGGTATAAGTCATGTACATTATGCGTTATTGTTTTTGCCTACGATTACTCTTACCACTACATGAGAAAGTATGTAGCCCAAGATTGCAACTCTCTTCAAAGTTTGCCAACCTTAGACCAAACCAATGTTACAACAAAGCACCATCAATTTTCAAGTTAATGGTGCCACCGTTCTATTACATCTTTGGATACAATGTTCTTGCTGTGCCTGTAACACTACCGAAACCGAACCCGACACCTAGGTTGTACAGTGAAGCCTGAGGCTGAACGCGACAGCGAGAAAGGGGACGAAGGACTACGCTAAAGGAGCCTCTTCCTGCTTGTTCAGGAATGTTTTGGGTGCTACACTCGACCTCATAGTGGTACAAAACTGTAGCATGGACCGGATGAGAATTCAAATCTGGTGTCTCTTCTAGTCCTTTGCACGTCATCTGGGTTTCAGCTAGCCACTGACTTAGGAGACGGTATAGTTTCCTTACCACGTCCCTTCCAGTACGGCTCTTTCTGCAACCGCTCATCAACGAACCGTTCAGGGAAGCCGAGATCTCTACTAGCCTCATAGCCATACTCCAAATCGCGGATCCGAGTATCTTCACTTGATCCCCGTGGTTCATATACCACACTGCCCGCCTTACGAAACATCTCGTTCTCTTCCTCGAACCTGACCTTCATGTCTTTGAGTATTGCAGCGAGATGTTTCTGCTGTGTTGCGTCGATCCATACCTTTGCGCATTCTCGGTTGGTGCCCTTAGTTGCCGTTGGCTGCCATTTAACATCTGACTCCCATTCAATATCTTCGTTCCAGCCCCAAGGTCGCTCGATGGTAAAAGGACTGCCTTCATAGAACATGTCGCACAGAATGACGGTAGTTTTTATTCCTTCAACAGCGGCTAGCTGGCAGATCGATGCTATTTCGTCGAACCATTCGTCCTTCCAGTCCAGCAGGGGAAATTCGATACGCAAGAGACGCAACTTGGGGAAAGCACTCCACTTGTTCTGCACGACAAGATGAAGCGTGGGAAGTAAGCAATTCGAGGCGAATGGGAAATCTCCGTCATGCCCGCCGACCCGAGTCTGGTCATGGGTCCTCGTGATCCAGAGCGCTTCTAGGTTTCCAGGTAACACAGACCAAAGTCGCTCGTGAGAAGAACGTTGCATATTGACTTGGCGAAACAGTGTCCTGTGAGACCATATATATAGAGGAGCGACTCTAAGTCGCTTCAGCGCGACGAAGGACTTGAATGAGCATATTCCAGGATTATCACGAATTCGTTTATCATGATAAAGATAGGCACTGTCATAGCTCAGACTCAGTCCTTCCAGCGACTCACAATGTGGCTGCAGGCTCCTCACAATTGACTGTTGATCCGTACCACACCAAGACCATGATCGATCGCCAATCTCGTAGCTAAACGTCTTCAATTTCCCGGGTATTGTTGCATCCATCATAAGCTGGAAATGGTCTTTGTGTAGTTGGGAGCGACGCAGTTCGATGTATTCCACCGGGCATGATCGAAGTGGCAGCGTTGCGAACGGATTCTTCGCATCTTCCAAATCCGGAGGATCACCCATATCCCCAAGCCTCCATCCGTATATAGAGCGGACATTGGGAAGATGGAAGAAGTTTGCCAGATGTAAGGTGTAGTTGGAGTACCTGCGCACCGGCCCTGTGAATCTGACCATGATGTCGATATGGTCTGAAACTGCAGGCAGCTGTACTACCTGCGATGGGTTACTCGCAACGCTTTTGACCGTTTCCTTTGTGGAGCCGCAGCGTGATCGTAGCTTATTCATGATTTTAGGCCACAGTAAACGGAAATCAACGTGATCATTGCGCGACACTGGAGATACCGTCTTTGAGTCTGCTGGGGCTTTGCCAGTGCTAACCCTGAAATCCAGTCGTCGTAACTGGGGAAGACAAGCGAGTAGAACTGCCATGATAGCATCCTCATTCTCGCCAGATGAAATCTTACCATAGAGTTCGTTGGCCTCTTCTTCGCTAGACGTAAATGCTGCACTCTTGGCCTTCAAGACGCTCTGCACCTCTGTATCTTTGAGTTCAGGCCATGAACAGTCACGAGACTTCCCTTTGGTCCTTGCCCATGAATCAGGTACGATGAATGATTCGACAAGAGCGGCGTGGGCTGGGGAGGTAAACATCAAGTACGCGAGGGCGGGGAGATGGTGCGTCTCCTTCAGATCTATCCCCGAGTACAGAAATGGCGTGGCGATGCGGTTGAAGTCTCTTGAGGTTAGGCATAAACTCAGGAGAGAATCGCGAGGAGCGAAAGATAGTACTTGTTCTAGTAGCTCCGTGGGAAGCTTCTGCTCAACTGAGGATGACATGATGGTAACACCAGGTATGAGGTGTTCGCGAAAGCGCTTTGCGCGAGATGAGTGACGAATATAACAGCAGGCTCATTGTACGTTCTGATGAATCTAATGTAGCTCAAGGCATCCACATGCAGGGCGTGTTGGAGGCCTGCTTGGTACCTAATGTTAGCGTCGCTGACGTGACGTCACCGCCGCGTCCTCCAATCCTGTAAGCGACTTCTTTCTATTACCAGCCTTTTTTGATCTTCATTTCCCATTGGCCGTCACGTATCCAGGATAAATCAGCAAGGCGTACTCTCAAGTTTATGCATGAATGTAGGTTGAACCCGAATACCCTTTTCTGTGCAAAACCAAAACAGTAGAGTCTCCCGACCATCCTAGAAGATACGTGACTGTGATCCACCAAATTGATCACATCCTCTAGATCATTCTTCGCATAGATTAGTTAGTGCAAGTATCGAATGGCCAGCCGACAAGGTCGATGTTGAGTAGCCTGCTAGACTCAATCTCTTTGGCACGAGACTTGAGCTCGTCGATGTCCCAGTTGCACCACAAGAACTTCCCTTTGAGGAATCGGGCCTCTGGGGTCGCAAGCCAGAGATTGAAGCTTGCTGGGAGAGTGACTAGATGACGAGCTGTTAGCTTCACCGTATTGCGTAGTGTAAAATTAGATCTTACCATCATCAGTCTTCACATCTTTAAAGCTATCCGCACCGCCGACTTTGAGGTTCATCTCAGTGAGAACAACGCCGGGCTGAGTATGGAAAACACTGAGGTTTGGCTTCGCAAGAAGCACGGTATCCCACAAGCGATAAACAGCCATCTTGGCAACGCAATAGGCGGCGAAGGCATCGTTGAGACTCAAATGAGCACCCCAAGAGTTGATGGCGATGACATGAGCATCTGGGGCAGCTGTACGAATAAAGGCCTTTGCAACCCACAAAGAACCCTCGAGGTTGTCGGTAACAGCTCTGAGAAACTCGCGGCCGTCGACATCCGCGAAATTATCATTCGGCCCAACAGCTGCAGCAGCGTGAATGACTGTGTTGATCTCGCCATCCTTGGCGAAGTTGTCAAATGCAGCATTGACTGAAGCCTCATCGGTGACGTCGGTGCTCTGGATGAAAACGATCGTACCAGGAGATTCCTTCTCAATATAGGCTTTGTTCTCGAGTAGAGGGCCTTCACGACGTCCAAGCAGACCAATGCGCGCGGCACCTGCGCGAGCGAAGAAGCGTGCTGTCTCTCCTCCGATGCCAGTGTTGCCTCCACCTGTCACCATGATCGATTTGCCTTTCTGAGAGAGAGCCGCGAGGCTAGGATTGCCAGCGGGTTGAGCCGTGTTATGCCAGCGCTTGACAGGCGACGGGAAGGGTGGAGTGTCGGAAACCATGGCGACTTTACTGAGCTATGTTGGAATAGAAGAGCTGGACAAAAGATTGGCTGCTGTGTAATCTGCGACTTGCAGCACTGGAGTCCAGAGTAAGTGACCACTCGTCTTGGAGGGCATCTTTACGGTCTTATACCGGGAAATCTCATCGGAAATGGACATGTAGTGCTGCATGTCATCATCTACACTGTGCTTGGGATACAAATTTGTTCCGTCCGGCGCGCGTGAACTCCGACCATAATCATGGTACTCTCCGCCATACCACAATGGGCTTTCCATACATGAAACAATATGCTTGGATACGAATAACTAGTCCTCTCCGATGGTTTGTCGTTGGAGCGCCTCAGCCCTATCCCCATGTTCATACCGCTATGCCAGGGACGCCACAAGCATGACCAACCCGCCCATACCGTCCATACCAGAACACCACTCTGCCCACCAGTTTGAGCAGTGACTACTTCTGTTGTTGTGAATCTGAGAAGCAGGTTCTTTATCTGACGGAGCATATGGTAGCCACGCGTCGCGGCAGGATAGCCTTCCTTGATCTAACTTGATGATCTCGCCGTCGACGGCCAACGCGTACGAAATTTGTCCCTGTGGCTCTGTTTGGCTCTGTGATTTCCAGTCTTGTGCATTTTTTGCCTCCCAGAGTTGCCGTTTCGCGGGCAAAGGTGCAATCACAAATTCCGCAGGCATATTGCACATAGCTGCTGGTTCAAAGAAGATGAGTTTGTTCAGGACGCGATAGATAACTGCAAGTCTACCAGAACAGTCAGTAGGTAGGGATGGAATGATAATGCCAATAGCTGGCGTACCTCCGCCGGGACTCTTTATAGACCCAGTCTTGCCAGCTGCTTTCAGACGTGTTGCGACACGATAGGTAATTTGCATGGCAGTCAAAGTCGTCATGAGACAGTTGTATTGCGATGAGCTAGGCAGATTATTGTCAGAAAAGCTTGTTACGAGAGGGGATACAGTAAACTTACAATGACCGCCTTCTCCAGGAGATGGTCCACATTGTTATGCTCAGTCTCGCCCTCGTCCAGACGGATCAACACATAGACTGAGAGAGCTTGCATAGCACCAAGCAATTCCCATTTACCGAGAGTCTGGTTCTGACACATGCGTTCACACTCTTGCTTTACGTTGCGCCAGAAAAGCCTTCGGCTTCCTTGTATTCCATTCGCAATCATGTGTATTAGGGCAATGCAGTTTTCAAGTGGCTCGTTTGTTGTACCTTCATCTGTGAATGAAACGCAGCTCGGGTGAATGAATGGGGGAAGAGTGCTTTGACGCAGCATTAGCGGGTAAGATTTAAGAGTGTAGAATAACAGATTGGCAGTTCTGTCCGCTCCGGGGCGCATATTTGGTCGTTGCATCATTGATCGTACATTCTGGTTAGGAATTGGTGGGATGGAAGAGCTCACCAGCCATGAAGCGTGATCCTGTCGCTGCCGCTGAGAAGCGGGTTGAGGTTGCTCTTGAAATGCTACATCTGCTGTTTCCGGAAGCAACAAAGACGGCGAAACGGGGGTCTGGCCAGCTGAAGCTAGCGAATGAGATGGTGTTGTTGTAAAAAGATTCAAGTCATGTGTAGAACGTATGAAGTCGTCAAAGGTCGCAGTGTCGTGGAGGTTCCACTGTATATCAGCGGACAGCATGGAGTTTTCACGGGCCGGTATCAGCTCTCGAATATCGTGAATCTGTTCGGGTACTGCTGATACTATGGTGTTTGTAGGATCTTGATCTAAACCATGCAGGTCGGGTATGTCATGCCGTGTTTTTACAGGGTTGCGTCTTTTCACTGCAGACCATGAAGGGTACTTGCACGTGATGTCTTTCCGGAGACAGCGCGAGCATGCTGGCAGTGCGTTGTCACAGCTGGTCTTGGTTTTTGCGCAAGTTGTGCATGATCTTCGTCTCTGTACTGGTTCTTTCTTGTTGGACCGACAGTAGTACCCATGACGTTTTAATGTTGACTCTTTGGGACAGTCAGTCTGCCGTCTTTGGCTTCGTATATATGACAATCCAGCAAATATACTGACGCTTCGAAAAAGGCTTCTTACACTGGCTACACCAGAGCACAGGTGCCTGCTCTGCCATCGAGTGCTGATTAGCAAGCAGGGATATGGTTTGCTACCCGCTCAATTTGAGGTGTCCCAGTTGTCACTTCTACCCTATGAAGAGATAGGGATTGTCCTACGACGAAGCTTGATCGTGCTCGGTACTGGGTTGGGATGGGCTGACAAATGCGCGAGCAGCACACCCCCACTTTCATCCTTCGGCCACTACAAATTGTAATCCCCGGTTCAAAGAGCGAATTCCCTAGGTGGTCTAGTGCTGAAATGATGCATCGATGTTCCAAAGTCATCAATAGAGAGAATAAGAAGAAAAGAACGAGCGCAGTATTCACGTGATGCTGAAGCGGTCAGCGAGGCAAAACGTTCAACCCACACAATTGCTTTTGCATCAGGCTGGCCATCGAAATTTGAAACAAATATTCTGAAGATGTTTTTCAAAACGCTAGCAGACAAGGTGTGGAAGAGCGTTGCCTAGAAATAGCCGCATAGAAGGCGTAAGGCTGCGGATGTCGAGCCTGCTTTTCATCTGGCCGCCACTACAGCGATTGAAGGTGTGTATACCGGACAGGAATCCAGAACACCAGTTGTTCTTGACGATTCCATAGGTACGCCTTGGTACCAGTCAATAAGGTGGTTGTGGTGCAAAGGCAGTAATGGGATGTCATCTTGGGGCGAGCTTGCAGGCCGTGACGTCGTGGCGTCCTACTGGTGCTCAATCGTCTTGGGTGTCTCATGGGTATCCTGCTTCATTCAAATGGAAATACACCGGGTATTAGCTCTTTCTCAAGCACATGAGCGCTATCCTCTCATCCCTCTAGCGCCTTTGTCCGGCCGTTCCTCTTCCTCCAGGCTTGCACACCTCTGTCGATCTCGTCTCTCGTCACACCATCTCTTATAAGTTGCATAGTTACACCAAGCGCCTCTACGTTCTTATTCCTGCTCTCATCATCGAAGAAGAGCATCTCCTCGTATTCGATCCCACTGTCTCTGTGTATCCTCTCAAAGTGCGTCGTCTTGCTACCGGGATATATCTGCATGTGATCGAAGTAGTCGATTGCGCGCGAGGACGACCCGTTGGGACTGGGTATCTTAAGGAGCTTGAGCATTTCGCGGCCGAGATCGGGAGCACTCGTGCGCGAGGCTGCGCCGATCAGGATGTTCTTGTCTTTAAGCTGTGAGGGTGTTAGAACTTCCCATTGCATCAGCAGACGACTATGTACTAACAGCTGCTAATATGCCTCCCACGTCGTTGTAAAATCCGAAGCCCTCGCCATATCTGTCCTTTACTTTCAGGCCTCCTTCTACGGGCTTCAGCGGAGCTGTGACATGCGTGTCCACCCAGAAGGGCCATAGTGTGTAGTCGAGGTCGAAAACGACGATTTTAGGGAGTGGCAGTCCGTCTGTGAATGTGGATGGCCATTGGACCTTGTCTGGGAGCTTGGTGGTGGTAGTTGTGTCGGCTGACGCTGACGAGGTCGCGCTGCGGCGGGGCATTGTGAACTTTGGCGCGTGCGGTGACTGTGCTTTGAGCAGGAATGTCACGATGATTACAAATACCGTAGCTGTCAGGAAGCGTGGCAGAGCCAGGTTGGCATGTGTAGAGTGGTAACAAAGATGGAAAGTGTGGCGCGTGTCGCAGAAAAAAAGGTGATGACGTAGACGCGTCGGATTGCCTCATTCGGCGCCCGGGTACACTTCGGGGCACATCTCGAAGCCCTGAGCATGCATGGCCGTTATGATGTCGGATGTACCTCGTTACGGCATGCCTCGATCGATCGTCGACAGCAGAAAAAGCACATGTACACCCTGACCAGAGGATCCGCTTTCATGACCGCCATTTCCGTCCACATGCACTTCGCCATCGTTGACCGCCGCAGAGAAGCCAGATTCAGTTCGAGATACACACTGACATGTCGGTTTCGTTGTATGACTGTCTAAGGGACGAGTCACTACCCTGGACACCTTGTATGCCCTATACATAGTATATGTACAACACGCGGGAACTGATCGCCTCGACCGCTAGCGCAAGCATCCGCGAACTGCCGATGAACTCGTCGTCCGGGCTGACAAGGACCATCCTGAACCTTGTCTATCGCGTCTGCAACCTTATTTCCAACTTTAACTGTCCAAATGTCATTGCCAAGCGTATCGAGTATGGTCAGGGTCACGCGCGCGATGCGCTCAACCAGTCAGTGGGAGCCAGGTTATAGCTCTGTGGACGCTGCTCCTCCCACAATACTCATCGCGCACTTCCGAAACCAGAAAAACAGACCAGACAGGCGCGAAACACGCAGACATGCGAATGTGCGATGACGCTGGCGACGATAGCCGTCTTGCATGTGTCAAAGTGGTGCCGCGCTGCACACCTTCCGTTCTAGTCGTCCAGCCACTACCAGCCCCGCAAATAACGGGCAGCGGAAGGAATCCCGCCTGACTTCTGCCTGCGTCAACCTCTACACAGCTTTCTCAGAACATGTCGCTGTGATCCGACCACCAACTGGGCTTCGATGGCGGCGACCTGTGCTCGTCGTACAATTTCACACCGCGACCAGAAACAGCACCATTTCGTCACCACTCGGCAACCCGCAATTGCGCAAACTCGGTGCCTGCGAATCAAGGCGCGCCCCATTGAAATCCAGCGCAACAACGGGTGACACCACACCAATCAATCGCCACAATGACCGACTTCAATGAAACAAGATCACCCCTGACAAACGATAATGTCCAAGCATGGGCTCGTGCGAATTTTGCCGCGCCCTTTCGCGCATTACCGCGCGCCGCAAGACTGCATTGGATCCAGTTCGACGAGAGCTTCACCATCAGCAGGGCCATCTGGCGAGGCCTCGGTCGCTCCACCCACAAGCAGTTGCTTGTCATCGGCGGATATGCGCCAGGCCCCGCCGGCGACGACGATGAACCCATTGATCGCGTCACCGCCCATGTCCACGAGGATGAAGCCGAGGTCAGCTTTTATCGCATAACCGAATTGGATGACGGCAGTAGCGAGCTGCAAGCTGTGAATAGTACCAGTACTGTTGCCTTCCATGCGCCTTTTTGTGATGTTGGAGACGATATGGGGGGGTCCAAAGCCATCCATCGCGTATCGGCCCTCATTCTTTACTACTTCTTGGCTGCTGGCCATGTGAAAGAGCTATGTCGGACAAGGTCGGATCCTACCATGTTTACCAGGAATTTTCGGGACGCGTGTTTATGGGTGCACAATGAGGGAGAACGACCATTGCTGCCGCCAACGAGGAAATCAGAACCGAGTACTCCTTATGAAAAGGACTCGATCGTTGTCCGGCCAAAACGATCATCCACCGTCTGTACGTTGGAATCTATCGTTATCAACTTCGTGGTTATACTGACTAGAAACAGCTTCATTATCAAGATCCATAACAGAAGATATCCAAGCGCCGCCCATTAAACGCGCAGCAACAGACAGCCTAAATGTCAAGATCAAACGCGAACGCGACGAAGACTACACCGGAATCGCATCAGCCATTCGTCCCAAGAAGCACCCTCGACGCACCCTCAGTGAGCAGATCATTGTGCCCTCAAGTCTCAAGCAATCAACCACAGCACCGTCACCATCATCGATTCTAAGTCCACGTAGTCCTGCGCCAGAGCGCGTTAATCGTGCACTAACAGACAGAATACAAAACCTCAAAGATGAGAATGCCGGTCTGAAAGACGTGAACGCCGGACTCAAAGCCTCTGTCAACGGTCTCGAAACAGAAAAAATAGATCTCCAGAAGCGCATGGAGAAAGAATCACATGCATACCGCGGCCTGGAAATGGAATTCGAAAGCATCAAGAAGGAAATGATGGCCATGAAAGAGCGGTTAGAATCTGTCGAGACGTCTGGCGAGAAGGTACGCGTGGAAGTAGATCGGTTAAAAACTGTCGAAGAGGCTAGCAAAGAATTACGGAAAGAGTTGAGGAACGAGGTGGAGAAGCTGAGAGGAAGGGTTGAGAGGAGCGAGAAGGAGGCTGAGAATGCGAAGGAAGAGTTGTTGGCTGTGCGGAGGGGCCTCACCAAGGAGTTGGGAGAGGCGGTCAAGAAGTGGGGTGCGTAGGCGAGGTGCGCTGTTTCTTTTTTTATTATCTTCTGTTGGACGAATGATTTGGGCGGCGGTTTGTGGGCGATTTGTACAGGAACGTGCAACCATGATTGATCTAGGGGGCATCTCTTTGTTTGATGAAGAAGCGGCATCATCGGCGTATTTTTCGGCGTCTCGTTTTCTTCTTCGATATAGCGCATCGCTACTCGCAATTTCAACACCGAAACCAATACCAAAGCAGTATGCAAATCTCGGGCCCGGGGATGGAAATATACCGAAATCGATTTTCCTTGTCGATACTAACATTCAGCATATCGTTACAGAGGCACCTACTGCAAATAATGTAAATACAGTAAGTCTGAATCAAAGAAGGTAAGAAAGAATGGAGATGTAGGTAATACAGCCACCCGGAACAAGTATACAGTCTGTACGGGTTCTTTTTTTTTCTGTTGTGTTGCATACATACTGACCACCCACCTGCCATTTGATTATACGAAGTGTTCCAAATACCATTTCACGGCATGTATCTCCACTACCTTTCTCAGGCTGCAACTGCAACAACGGTCCCCGTTCTCACCCTAGCATCACGATGCGCATTCCGCCTCAACGGCTCAATCTTGGCGCAAAGTTATGGTCCGTCGGCTTCTCCTCCTCCTCCCCCTCCTCCTCCTCCTCCTCTACTATATCCCTTACGATTGGCATTCCTATTGCGGCTTGATGAGTTTTTCGCTGCGTTGATTTTCGTGGAGCTGTTTCTTGAAGAGTCAGAGAGGGAGGTGATAGTGGCATGCTTGGAGGATGCGAGACCGGACTGAGGTTTGGTTAGGGTGGTATGAGTGGGTGTAGTAGGTGTGGTAGTACGGCGCTTTTTGTTGTCGTTTGTGCTGCGGGGATGCGGTTCACGTCGTTCTTGGGTTATGCGAGGGAGCTTGACCTTGACATTCGGAATGGTGGATGTAGAGGTGGGGGCGTCGTCTTCGGTGTTCGAAGTCCATGAGTCTTCGGAGTGGCGCCGGGTGCTTGATTCACTATCTGGTGTGTCGATTGAGGTGGTCTTGGAGGGAGCTTTGCAAGCGGTCAGTAGCGAAGGGTTGCGATCGAGGATAGGCAACGATAGTGGCGAGGCAGAGGGGTTACTGGAAGGTACTTGGGCCTTGCTTAGTCCTACGCTGGCCGTTGATGTACAGGATGACTGCAGGCTAGGTGATGGAGTGGGAGCATCATCGAGGTCGATGAGCAGATCTGGCATGTGGCTCGCACACTGAGTCGGTTGCTTGACTATCGCTGCTGGGGGAGTTAGGCGACCTGCTGTGGTTTGCTTGGGAGAGAGATCTCTCTTGAGAATACTACGCGGCTGCTGTACTTCCTCACTAAATAAATCGTGTCCCTCAGTGGTCCTCAATTTGAGTGTAGAAGGGTCAGGGAATTCCCTTGGTTCTGGTACTTGCCCTGCATACTCCACATCTTCATTCCCAGCCAGCCGTCGCTGCATCCATGTGGGCGGTCTAGGAACGATAGCAGTTTTCTCCTTCCACCATCTCGGTATGCCTCGAACGAAGCCTAGTTCACGCAGCTTCTCGATACCAGGCATCTCGTGTTTGAACTTGCAGCCCATAGCCGCGAAGCTACACTCGCCAGTTTGGATCCAGTGCGTGCAGTACTCTTTCTTGGATGGATCGGGCTCAATGCCGGATGGATGGGGGAGGCGGTAACCAAGGCGTTTTGCATCTTTCGGATAGATGGATGCGAAGGTGTCGGTCAGCGATGAAGGACTTTCAAGGGTAATGCTAGGCGTCGGACGATGTTGATCTGGCGAATTCACGAGAGCTGGATATTGAGCTGAATTTGCGACGGTTGGAGACTGATGAAAAAGTCGAGTAGGCCGATAGTAGTCTACAGATGTCATCTGCTGTTCAGCACGCACATGATGATCTGGTGCCAAGTATCGGGGGCTTGTAGTCGGACTGGGTTGGGTTAGATGGCTGGTCATTATAGGCGCTTGGATCGCGAGTGCTGATGACACCTCGTGAGTCTCTGAACAGAGCCTCCAGCCTTCGTCTGAGATTTGGCGATGGGCCAGCCGCCGCGGGATTCCTTGGAGTTGAAACGGTAGTTGATCCACCAGTACCAGTGGGACCATCACACTACTCCCCATAGCATCACTGCGAAGAAGATAGTATCGGAGCCCATCTAGAAGTGCGCCACTATTAGAAGATTGAGTGGCCATGGCAGTGAGTTTCAATACTGTAAGCAGAAAGGATGAATTTACAACTTGTTAGCCGTAAGTGATTTCGACGGTGTACCTACTATACAGAGAAGTAATGACCGAGGAAGACAACTTATGGAAGCTGGATACTACGAATGAATTGAAAGACAATCAGACACAATGACAGAAGCTTCTCGATCGTGTCTCCAAGAATATAAGCACAATGCAGAAGCGATGGCGTAGCAGTCGTTAGGGGAAATAGGGATAATTTGCAATTTACGCGTTCCGAGGAGCGTCACGAAACCGTGACAGAGCATAACGCGTTAAGTAGACGGGTCGTGGGCTGCACGGGTACGTTTCCCGGTTTTACCTACTCAGGGCACTGCAGCAACCATTCTTCGTAGCGCAAAGTATCGCGGTTGTGATGCAGTTAAGATGGCGCTTATGACGAGTGGATTACTAGATCGGAGAGACATTTTCTGGGACTGCCAGAAGTCCAGGCCTGCCAAGCTATGACCCTTTTCGCTCAACGGCTATCCCTGTGGAGATCACAACCGCGGCACGGCATCCTCCGTTTCGCCAAGATTAGCCTAGCCCCAACTTCAAAACACCAGACTGCTTCCACCAACGCTACTTCGTCGCGGCTTTTGCACTCGGCTTATCACCTTGGCAGTGACAGCGCGCGCTTTGTGTCATCTTTCATAGCCTCGAGCCGTGGTCGGGAGATGACGATCCCCACACTTCAACGGTTGACCTCGCGATGGGAATGGTAGAAGTTTGCACAAAGCTAACCATCAGAACCTATGCCTAGTGTTCCGGCAGTTGACATCTGGACCATACATGTCAAAACTTACTTGCATGATATTAGCCGTGTGGCGTTTTCATGGAGTTATCTCCGTGCTGTGGCTGGCAGCAAGATCACAGACTAGGAGCCCGCTATTGAAGGTACCACGATTCGTCAACGAATGAAGCTCACAGGATGTCGGCACTGACTCGAGGACGAACGCGATCTCCAATAGTGGGTCGATGGCTTCGCACTGGTAACTTGCGGCAATATGCCTGGCCAGTTCGGAGAGTAAGCAGCTGGGACGACTATCAACGGTCCCTAGGCTTCAGGGTTCGTTAATACCGGAGCTTCTCTCCCTCCCCCGCTGATTACTCAAACAATTCTCCATTGCACGAAGATTGGCAAGCAACGTATCGAATGGATGTGCGAACCCGGAACCGCTGAGCAGAGCCTGAAATATGAGCAAGGACGATCGCAGTCGCGAAGTATTCGCTGTGGCTGCACTGTTCTTCGTGCTCACATGGACGACGGTCTGCCTACGAGTTTATGTGCGAGCCATATTGATGAAGACATGGGGAAAAGACGACTCGTTCATGGTTGCGTCGCTAGTAAGTTGTCACACTTCAGATACATGTGGTTGGCTGTGCTTATCAAACTTTGTAGGCGGTCTTCACAGTGTACCTGCCATGTCAGATCATTGCCGCTATACATGGTACTGGAAGGCATCGATGGGACTTGAGCGATCATGATCGAAAGACTGCACTCATGGTCAGTTCAACGTCATTGCTTAACATTCTCGCGTCTAACTCAACACAGTTCTGGTACTTGTGTGAGATCTTCTACGTCATAGCAAACTGCCTGCTCAAGTTTGCTATTGGCTATTTCTACCTTAGGGTCGCCATTGAACGGTGGCACATCTGGTGCATCAGATTGCTAATGCTAGGCACGGTACTATGTGGTCTGATTTACCTCTTTCTAGTCATGCTTCAGTGTCTACCCAGTAAGACCTTTTCAGACGCTCACTTTCCGCACTTGCTAATGAATACAGTCTCTGCATTTTGGCTGGAGCACCCAGCTTCAAACAAGTGCATACCAAGAGGACCTACCTTAGGCATTACCTATGCGCTTGCCGCAGTCAACGCACTCGCTGATTGGGGGTTCGGGCTGCTTCCGTTCTTTATTGTTTGGGGCCTAGAGATGAGGCCGAAGACAAAGGTGTTGGTTGCATCGATACTTGCATTTGCGGCGATCGGAAGCACCGGTACAGTCATTCGCATGGCTTATATCCACACACTTGTAGAAGGCCCCGACTTCTTATATGCTACTACCGATGTTGCTCTATGGAGCACCATTGAACCAGGGATCGGGATAACAGCGGGGAGTATCGCCACATTTCGTCCGCTTGTCCGTCACTGTCTTTGGAAGCTGGGTCTCGGCGAAGCACCTAGGCACGAACGAGGTCGTAGTTACTACCCTTCTGTCATCGGCCAGAAGCGAAAGAATCGTCGCGGATACCGACGTAGCTTAAGTCCGTCTGACCTAGTGCCTACCGAGCATGGAGGCATGACTTCTATACAGATTCATGGACCTGAAGATATAGACCTGGAGAACAATATCCCGCCGCCAAAGATCGTTGTCACAGAGGCGGATCTGCCGCAACCCCCGGAAGGGCAAATCGTACATACCGTCTCGGTTCAGCAAGAATACGAGGGTCCGCCAAAGCTTCACCTCCGTGATAGCCTCAGGAACAGCTTCACTCGTGGGAGTATTCTAAGCCTTGGAAAATTCCGCATACCCGATTGAGCTGTTCGAACGTGTTCTGTAGTATTTTCGGTATCCGAAGTCGAGCAAACGCGGGATACGATCTTTCAAATGCACGAACGATTGACGATAAAACGTCGAGGTGTCGTGAAAGACACGTTCTCTCAAGCATACAGCATGGCCTTCACTAGTACGGCTAGTCGCCATACACGCAAATTAGCGTCACCGGACCGGTCTCCAGAAGAAAGTGAGAGAGACGACGGAGCGTGGCGTCATCTGGATGAAACACATTCACCGACGCTGATTGTGGTTCACGTCATTCACCAGATGTGTCTATACTAACCATTTCCTGGTTCCTGATCTCGCTCCTGCAGCTTTTATCATACCACCTGAATCTTAACGAGCGCCGTCTAGCAAGCCGATCGTACTCTACCATCATCTGGCGTGTTCATACGAGTTGGTCGTACAATCCTCGCAATCTCAAAGATCAATCTACTCCAAAGACAGTTTCCAGCTACTTTTGTAGACAACTTCCGATGAACGAGAACGACATAGCAGTGTTGCAACTCAACAAAGACGTTATCGCGGACGCCATCACCATGACCAACATCGAGCGTTTCCTACATTTTTTACAGCACGCCAAGTCGTTGGTAGGGCTATATGGACCTTATAGCAAGCAACCCAATACAACGGTTTTCGCGCGCGATGTGAGGCCGCCTCAGCATCCGAAACCTCAAGATCCATCGCTCAACACTCTCGCCCTCTCCTTCGCAGCAACACAAGATTGCACATACAGCGCCCAACCCGCTGGGTCAGGGAAAGAAGACCTAGACCTCTTCACACTCCTGTGGGATTGTGCAGTCGTGGTCCTTGAGGAGATACTCGCTAGAGGTTCCCTTCCACAAGAGTCTTTCGGCTGGGGTATCTTTGGTCTTTCCGCTGGCTACATGCATCCGCCTGCCCGCGATCTCACCGCACAAAACGTCTTTCTGAGCAATAAGCGCCGACTTCATGACGCGCTGAATGTGTTGCCTTCTTTAAATCGAGAGACGAGCAGCGAGTATGTGGTAGGCGAGAAGAAGACTACGGCTTTGCTCACACGGGCTCGAAGGGATATACACACACTAGGGCATATCTTGTTACACGAGTACAAGCTCAGTAGCTGGAGGCGAGTGAGGTGGCTACATACGATCGCAGTTGCGGAGAGGTGGGTTGGCGCTTTCGGACTGAAACCGATGAGAGAGCTAGGCGTGTTGACAAAGAGGACGAAAGAGGTGGTTTGTGAGGCAACGAAACCGCCAGGGAAGAGGGTGGTAAATAATAATGTGAGGTTCGAATTTCCTGATGTTAGCGCCCAGGATTCACAGGGCGTCATGGATGAAAGGCCAGAGCGAGAGAGGGGTAATGAGAGGACCACTTCACATACAGAAAGACGATGTCAAATTACTTATGGTTAAGTAGATTAACCCATCTATACTGATATCCGACAATGACTTTCTACTGATAGTAGTATCCTTCCACTCTCTATCAGCGTAGTGTGCGTTCCACCTATCTTAGCACCCCATTCATCTTGATGCGGAAACGCTAATCCATATGTAAGGCGGTCTCCACCACCAGATCAGAAGCGCGAATGTCTATATAGATAAGTAAACAGCTTGAGAAGGCTAGGACTTTGCTTACTCGCTCAAGATGTCTTACGTGTGGTCTTCAGCGAATGGCAACGCGGTCCTTCCGGACCTATACCAGAGGCGGCTAGTAGCAGCGATCTACAATCACGACATACCACCCCTCGATTTCGTGTACAACCAGACCTCATAAGCCCTTGCAACAGTCCGCCGTGTTATGCAACGATGCCGAGGAAAGCTGGACCTGTCAACATGCATCAGACCTCGCATCGAACGCGACATGCCATGCGCTCCAATGACAGCCCACAATCATGCCTGGGTATGTGCATGAGCCCGTGGTCATGACGCTGCGGCGGCCTGAGCTGCTCAACCCACGTTCTTGCATCATCCCAAGCTATGGAGAATTCGAGAATAGCGAGTTGATAAGTAGGCGTTAGTGCCCGGCTGTCGCAAAATGGAAAAAATTATCTCAACATCTCTGGTCCATTTCCAGTGCGACCGTTATCATGGCATCGGAGAAGCACAACGCGCCTGTCGCGTCCGACTCATCTGACAGCGATGTAGAGGTTGTTCAGGGTACTATCAACGAGAAGAAATTGCTAAGAACACTGGATCTGAGGTTACTTCCCGCGGTTTCAGTGCTATATCTGTTGAGTTTTCTTGATCGCAGCAATGGTGCTACACGCCCTACCCACAACGAAAGCACCGTATGCTGACCTATCTCTCCAGTCGCCAACGCCCGCATCGAAGGTCTCACGGACGACCTACATATGACTGGAAACCAATATCTCACTGGTCTAACACTGTATTTCATCGGTTACGTACTATTCGAGATTCCATGCAACATCATTCTCAAGCGAACTACGCCGAAATTTTGGCTACCGACACTCACGCTGGTCTGGGGGGTTGTCGCAACATTGATGGGTGTCACACAGAATCGAGAGGGCTTCTTTGCCGTGCGTTTCTTGTGAGTAGCTGTTGGGAAGTACTTGGCGTACAAGCAATGCACCAGAACAAATGGGCTGACTTGAGAACAGTTTGGGTGTCGCTGAGTCCGGACTTTTTCCAGGCGTTGTATACTACCTTTCAATGTGGTACAAAAGAAACGAACGCCAGTACCGTATCTCTTTGTTCTTCAGCTGCGCTTCACTTGCTGGCGCTTTTGGTGGAGTATGTTGTGCCCGCATCGCAAGTTTGATCGCTTGTACTGACTGCTTCAGATCCTAGCCTGGGGCATTGCGCATATGCGCAACGTTGGCGGATATGCTGGTTGGAGATGGATTTTCATCCTGGAAAGTATGCTTATCCGAGCGTCGTTCTTATACTAACAAAATATATAGGAGGGCCTTCTCACAATTGTGATCGCGATCGTCGCATATTGGTTCATTTCCAACTATCCCGGCACAGTCAGCTGGCTCAGTAAAGAAGAGCGAGCCTTTGTACGAGCACGTCTTAAGGCTGATAGTGACGCGACAAATGATGAGAAGTTTTCATGGGCCGAAGTGCGGGTTGCAGCCAAGGACATCAAGATCTGGTTGTATGCCTTAGCCTTTCATACTATGAGTCTACCTTTGTATACTCTATCACTGTTCTTGGTAAGCCAGCCGCTTTGCATTACTGAATGCGTCAAATATCCCTGTCTAACAGTAAAAAAGCCAACGATTATTCGGGATATGGGTTACTCGTCAGCCCAGTCTCAACTTCTTACCATCCCACCTTATGCGGTCGCGACAATCTTCACGATTTTCTGGGCGATACTCTCTGAGCGCTATGCCCGCCGTGCACTCTTCATCCTCACGACCTCCACCGTTGCGATCATCGGATACATTATCCTGCTCGCGAACACCGATCCCAAGGCACGGCCAGGTGTTTCCTACGTTGGAACCTTCTTTGCCGCTATCGGAATATACCCGTCCGTCGCGTTGATCCTCTGCTGGCCTGCAATCAACGTAAGTGGACAGACAAAGAGAGCGACCGCGAATGCCATGCAGATCAGCATCGGCAACTTGGGAGCAGTGCTGGGTACGCAGCTGTACCGCGCAAATTCCGGGCCGCGATACGTTCTTGGGCATAGCTTTGCACTTGGGTATTCATGTCTGAATCTGGTCGTTGTCGGGGCATTATTGGTGGTTTTGAAGAAGGAGAACAAGGAGAAAGAGAGGATATTGTTGGAGAAACCAGATACTCGCGGTTTCCACGACACAGTGGAGGATCTGGCCATGGGTGATCGTCATCCGAGATGGAAGTTTCAGGCTTGATGGAGTAAATAGGTGGCGGCGATGTTGAAGAGTGGGGACGATAAACACTGATGGGAATTGTACGTTACGTTCTGTGGATATGACACCACAGTGGACACGACTCGGAGATGGCTACGGTGGAGCTATCCAGATGAGAATGATCTCTTTTTCACCTGTCACAGATGGTGTCAGCTGCGTTCCTCGAGAGCGCAACGATTGCAAAATTGTAACAGTTTGTGATGCGATTACACTCCGAGCACACGATGACAGGGAAGTAGATACGAGTGTTTCGACGACCCGATAATAATACTGCAGTCCGTGAATGTACCTTCCTGATTGAGACTAGTATATACGTACTACTCCGAGGTCGGTTATCCCCGCGTAATGTCCATAACCAGCGCTCCGAGCTCCAAGCTTCCAAGCCTTCGATCTTCAATACTCATCACAATGGCGGCCAATAACAAGGAAAAGCAGACATCAGCTGCAACTCCTCCAAAGTCATACAGACCATCGTACAATCGTCAATTCATCGGCAGCGCTGTCTTTTGCTTGGGAATTTTGGCTTTCCTACGTCATACAACCACCCCCATCTCGTCGTCATGGCACCTTCCTTCAGACTTAAGCAACGCCAAGTCTGGAGCGCAATGCCCACAAGTCGAACTCTTGTTCCCGACAAAGAGGACGAAAGAGTTGGATGAAATGGAGAGCTACCTGACATCGGACGCTTTTCGTGATGTTGCCATTGAGCGTCTATCGGGTGCTGTCAAGATCCCCACGCAAAGCTACGATGACATGGGCGAGATCGGATCTGATCCGCGATGGGATATCATGTACTCTTTCGCAGACTATCTTGGAAAAACTTTTCCGCTCACGCACGCGACATTGCAATTGGAGAAGGTCAATACGCATGGGTTGCTGTATACGTGGGCTGGCACGGATGCAAGCTTGAAGCCTAACTTGCTCATGGCGCATCAGGATGTTGTGCCGGTTCCGGATTCTACAGTCAAGCAGTGGACCTACCCGCCTTTCTCAGGTCACTATGACGGGAAGTTTGTTTGGGGTAGGGGTGCGAGCGATTGCAAGAACCAGTTGATGGCTATTTTGAATAGCGTGGAGGCGTTGATTTCTGCTGGCTTTACTCCTCAGAGAACATTAATATTGTCGTTTGGATTCGATGAAGAAATCTCTGGTCGGGAAGGTGCGCAACACCTTGCGGACTACCTGGTCAAGAAACTTGGACACAACTCCATCGCTGCCATCGTCGATGAAGGCGCAGTAAACGTTGAGAGCTGGGGAGCAAATTTCGCAATCCCTGGTGTCGCCGAGAAAGGCTACGTCGACGTTGACATTGTCGTGCGCATGCCTGGCGGCCACAGCAGCATCCCTCCACCGCACAACAGCATCGGCGTCGCCAGCGAGCTCATCACTTTGATAGAAGCCAACCCTTACGAGCCTCGTCTTTTTGACGAAAACCCTTACCTAGGTCTCCTCCAATGCGGTGCCGAGCATGCCTCAGACTTTCCCCGCCATCTAGGGAAACTGCTTGACAAGCGCTCTAAACGAAGTGCAACATGTTCGAAGAAACCAACAAAAGACGCTCTCGCACTTGAAGCAGCAAAAGCGGGACCAGGCATAAAATATCTCTTCACGACCTCCGTGGCAGTCGACATAATCCACGGTGGCGTGAAAACAAACGCACTTCCTGAGCGCACGCAGATAACCGTAAACCACCGCATAAACGTTGGTTCAAGCTCCTCGGATGTTAAAGCACACATCTCGTCCCTTGCAGCTCAGGTAGCGCACAAGTACAACCTCACACTGCATGCATTCAACGGCACAGAAACCCCCTCTAGCATCGCTCTCTCCCACGGACCCACAATGCTAGAACCAGCACCCGTTACACCCACTTCTCTCCACACCTCTGCCTCTAACAAGACCGTGACGCCCTACCAAATTCTCTCGGGAACCACCCGCGCCCTCTACGGTAGAGAACTTCTTGTGAGCCCTGGTATCATGACCGGTAACACGGACACGCGTTATTACTGGGACTTGAGCGAAAACATCTTCAGGTATGGGCCAGGTTGGGATAAGGAGCAGGTTGGTCTAGGAAATATTCACACTGTCGACGAGAGAGTTGGAGTGCAAGCGCATTTGGATACTGTCAAGTGGATGTGGGGCTGGATTAGGAACATGGATGAGGCGGCTTTGTAGACATCGTCGATGAAGGTTACTTAGACGAGAATTCTGCATGTGAGGGAAGTGGGGCTGCGACAATTCGCAGTTGCCAATTACTGATAGAAGCCAAAAGGGATTGCTTACTCACTTAGGTAGCTAACGATACGTGGTAAGCTTGAGTGAACCCAGAAGCGTCAAGCTATCCTTCTCTGCTTGTTAGTAAAAGAAGATATCTTTTGTGATTGCTAAGCTACTGTTGTGGTCGAGTTGGAATTAGTTTTGCTTTCATTGAAGTTACTTCGGTACTGTGATGACTTGACCAATAGACGACGAGCCACTGATAGTTACAATCCTACAATCGTTATTATCCTAAACAGAACTTACATATATCAATAACTAACATAGTTTACAAGCGAGCGCCGCGTACAAGCGAGCGCCGCACCCCACTAACTTTGCACACCTCTACAATCGTACATCTTAACAACGTGATGATATAATATATAGATATCTATATAGCAGATTAAGCAGTATCTTTAGTATCCTTCTTGTATATACGTAAGTTATAGCTAGTCTCTCTGCACCTCGTGCAGCGCGCTAGAGCCTAGCTGTTACAAGGTAACAAGGAGTTGCTTCCTTTTGTTATGCAGGCCGCAGGAAGGAAGACCATCGGGATAGCCGCGATGGAAGGTCGCTGATCCAAGGCGGGGCCTGGGATCACGTGACGTGCCATCAC